GCCGGGGCGTGAGCCCCGGGCTGTCCGGCTGGCGGGTGCGGCCTCCGCCTTTATTACACACTTTTCATCTTTCAGTGAATTCTCTTCATTATTAGCCTTTTATGATATAAATGTTTTAAAAAGCACCTGCTATTGTACATTATATTAATGTACTTTATTTTAAAATGTGGATAAATGCTTTGTGATTATATTATTTTACATACATTTATCTTCCATATACATAATTAAATAAAATGGGTAATATAAAGAAAGTGGCATATTTAGAGACTGGATTTTATACTTCATATGGTGATAATGCTCATAATTAAAATTAGAGCAGCAGTTGTAGAGTATTCATACTGCTATGTTAGAGGATCATAAAAGGTTTGTTTGTGTTCTTGATAATATTGCATTACAATTTAACATACACTTTTATCCTCTTAGAATTCTTCTGTTACTTGTATTTAATAAACACATCAACTCTCAAGATGATCCAAAATGTTGGCTTAAGAAGGAGCCCTTTGTCTGAAACACGTTTGGCCCGCATAGCTTCCAGGCTCACTCCCTGCCAGAATGGTAAGTCAATGACCACAAGGACTATTATCTGTTGAATCCTGTGTGCATCACCAATATCTACATGCATGTCTAGTCCATTTTAAGAGTTTCTGTCATTATTATTAAATGAATGTATGAGAAGATTGAGTCACAGCAAAGTGAAGACTTTGACTTAAGGTCACATATGAAGAAGTTACTGGCAGAACTGGAGCAAGAATCCTTGTATTCTGACTCCTCCATTGAGTGGTTCAATATAAGACATTGTCTCTAGGGTTGGCTCAGTGGTTAAGAGAGCTGGATCCCCCATGGCCCACCACATGGTTCAAATCCCAGACCTATGACTTGAAAAACATACAGAGTTCTTGTGTGTACATGCCCCAAATCCTGATAGGATGGAGAAATGGAGAAGAAACTGTAGTGTGATCATGTCGCATTGCAGGGATTCTTTCTCCCTCTATGTCTCTTCTCTTTCTGTCTCTCTGTGGCAAGTGTATGTGCTCTCTGGAGGGGAAAAAAAGACATTGTCTCCCATTAGTACTGCTTTTAGGTCCAGACACCTGTGGCTCCTGCCCTGGGTCCTTTGCTTTGAAAGGACCCAATTTGGCTCTTCCACACCCTTCCCCAGAGCCAAACAATTCCAAGAGTATATCCCATCTCCCATATATTCCAGACTAAATTGTAATAATAAATAAAGTTGAATAAAATAATTATTTTAAATTATTTTAAAAGAACAACAACAACAAACCTGTAGGGGACCAGCACGTGGCATGGTGGTTAAGGTGCTGGATACTCCCACATGGCCAACCATGGTTTGAGTCCTGGACCTAGTGGCTTGCTTTCTCACTTTCTTTCTCTCTTTGTCTCTCTCTGGTCAAATTTAAATGAATGAATAAATGAATAAAATTAAATAAGTAATACTCTAATTTAAAAAATCTATATATTTTAAAATTTACCATCAACAGTTTTTAAACTTTTTCAATTTGGGAAACTTTAGATCTATGATATATACAAGCATAGGAAAAAATATAATGAATTCCAAAGTTCTTATCACTGAGCTTCATAGCATTCTGTCATTCTTATTTAATGTACTTCTCCAACTTTTATTGTTATTATTATTATTGGTAGAGTATTTCAAAATAAATCCCAGACATCATGTTCTTTTATTAAATTATATTAAGATTATGATACTTACTAGTAAAGGTTTAAAAGTAAAGATGGAAGATTTTTAGTGAAGACCTCTTCATTTTAAAAATGCTGTATACTGTCAAATGCCAGTTTATTTATTTAATTAAAAGTTTTGGGGGCCAGCAGGTGGCATGGTGGTTAAAGCACTGGACTCCCACATGGCCCACATCTGTTCGGGTCATGGACCTGGTGGCTTGCTTTCTCACTTTCTCTTTCTCTCTCTCTTTGGTCAAAGTAAAAATAATGATAATGATAATAAATAAAATAAAATAAATAATAACAGATAATAAAAAAATTTCTCCTTCAAGGAGAACTCAAGTGGGAATTAGGCATTCCATAATGATCTTTATGACTACAAATAAAACAAATGCATTCTACCTCATGTCATACAGTTCTCCTTACAGGATTCTGTGAGACAGCATCTGTTTTTATTTTACATTCAATCCACTTTCTGTTTTTCCCTTTCCTTTCTTTTGGAAGAGCTGTTGAAATGGTAAGCAAATTAATGCTCTTCCCTCCTCACTTTTCTGAGTGATAAAACCTGAAAATGATAAATACAACAGGGCAGGGTATGATTTAATGTAGTGCCTTTTCTAATTCAAATGACGGAGAACTTTTTGGAGCTCTAGTGCACTCACATCTTGGTAATAGCATTTAAAGCATGAGTAGATTATATATCATGACATACAGGGAAGTCTATACATTAGTTACAGGAATGTTGCTAGGAAATATAAATAAATAATATTACTAGCTGCAAAGACATATTAATAATCCCAACAACTGAGGCAAAGCATAGTTATTTATTTTTATGTTGACAGCCACTATTTTTAAAAGTTCCTATGTCTTAGGTAGCATTTAAATTTGCACTGCATTTTAATACTATTTTTTGCATGGCATGTAGGACCTAGAAGTTCTTTCTTTCTGATATTGTTAGCAATGGTTACATGGTGTTTTTAGGAAATTCTGGTGTGACAAAGCCCTCTACTCTTCAGTGTTCCATCAAGAAGACGCAAGAGTGGTACTGTCTGGAGTGCTAGACTGGGGAGGGCAAGGTATAGGGATGATGTACCAAGAGATGACAATCTGGCTAGAAAGAAGGTTCAGAGACTTGTTTGGAAAATGCCTTTGCAGAACAAACACTTTCCTTATATGTGTATCCAGCATGGCTTTTTCCTGTATGTGTATCCCGTGTATGTATATCCAGCAATGTTGATGGAGATTGTGAAGTAGGAGAAATAGAGGGCGGGTAAAGTCCCTTCCAAGCCACCTTTTGTCACTGCCACTGCTCTAGACCTGTGCAGTCCAGTATGTGGTTTCCGAGCACTCAAAATGGACTTAGTCCAAGTTAACGTAATGCCGTAAGTATAAATATATGCTGGTTTTTGAATTACAGATAACATAAAATGTCTCATTAATAATGTTTTATATCGATTGTGTGTTGAGATGATAACATGTTTTTATTTCATCTTATTTTCAAAGTTTATTTATTTCTTCCATGAGAGCGTGACAGAGAGGAATCACCCCCAACAGGGTCCCCTCACTGGCCTCCACCCACACTAGCCAGTATCACAGGCATACACACACATGCCCGACATGTGCAAGGAGACCTTGGTACATGGCTTCAGCATGTGGAGCATTGTAGAACTGCTATGCCACTGCCCCTAGCCTACTTTATTTTTATAATTAAAACAAAAAACCAGGCCCAGCAGGGCCAGCAGGTAGTGTGGTAGTGTGGTGGCTACAGGCACTGAACTCTCACATGGCCGATGGCCAACCGCAGTTTGAATCCTGGACCTGATGGCTTGCTTTCTCACTTTCCCTTTCTCTCTCTCACTGGTCAAATTTAATAACAACAACAACAGCAACAAATAGAGTTCAATGAAATAATTCTAAGGAAAAAAAAAAAGCCAAGCTTCTGTGGCACAGCAATAATATAAGTGCCCTGCAAGGGTGGAGACCACATAACCAACTATGGGTTCAGATCCCTGGCTCAGCCTAAAGGCACCGAGGAGCATCGGTGGCCAGAATCTCAAGGAAATGGAAGACTGGGAGAAGGGGATCATGGTGTGATGAGATTCTGTTGCGGGTAATTTCTCTCTTTGTCTCTCTCTCTCTCTCTCTCATGCACATGCGCTCTATGGTGTGTGTGTGTGTGTGTGTGTATGACTATTTTTTTTTTTGAGGGGTTTTTGCTATAGGGCGCATGTGCTCGCCAGAGAGAGACAGAGAGCCAGAAAGCAAGAAATCATCCCCTGGGGGGATGGCCACACCACAATTCCTTCTCCTCCATTCTCCTCTGGGGATCTTGGGCATGCACACACACACGCCTGGTGTGAGTTTTTTTTAAGCCACTGGGTCCAGGACGCGAACCATGGTCGACTACATGGGAGTCCAGCAACATAGCCGTTATGCTAACTGCTAGTCCCTGTGTGACTATTTTTTAGAGCAGTTTTAGGTACACAGCAAAACTGAGCAAACAGTGCAATATTTATACACCTCTTTCCATGTAGGCACAGCTTCCCCTACCATTAACATCCTGCATTGGTATAGTACATTTGTTAGAATAAGTGAGCCAAAATTAACATATCATGAACATACCAAAGTTCATAGTTTACGTTACTTTGCTTTGGTGTTGTACATTTTTGGGGTTTTGACAGATGTATAATATGTACCAGCCATTATAACATTATACGAAATAGTTTTACTGCCCTAAGAGTCCCCTGTGTCTATCCCTCCCACTCCGCATACTTCTATTAACCACTATCTTTTTAATGTCTCTACAGTTTTCCCTTTCCAAAATGTCATGTTATCAGAATCATACAGTATGTAGCCTTTTTCTAAATGTATGTTTCCTCCATGTTTTCTGTGGCCTTATTATTTTTTAGCACTGAATAATATTTCATCGTATGCGTGTACTACAATTTATTAAAAATGATAATGTTTTATTAAAAATCTACTAAATAAAATATATGATTAATATTAATATTATTTTGGGGCTAGCCAGGTAGTGTGGTAGTTAAGGTGGCTGGATCCCTCTTGGCCAACAGCATGGTTGAAGGGCGACTTGAAAATCATGCAGGGCACCAGGCGCATGTGCATGGGTGCCCAAGATTCTAATAGGAGAATGGAGGAGAAGGAATTGCAGCGTGGCCATTCCCACAGGTGGTGATTTCTCACTTTCCCTCTTACTGTGTCTGTCTCTGGTCTCCCTCCAGCAAGCACACATAAACCCAACAACCAACAGACAGGGCATGTGTGTGTGCACACCCAAATTCCCATGAGGAGAATGGAGGAGAAGGGATTGCAGTGTGGCAAGTCCTTCTGGGGGATGATTTCTCACTTTCTCTTCTCTTTCTCTTGAGCACACATGCCCTATAGCAAATTTAAAAAATATATTTTCAGGCCAGCAGGTGGCGTGGTGGTTAAGGCAATGGATACCACATGGCCAACTCTGCAGTTTGAGTCCACGGCCTGGTGGCCTGAAAAACATGCTGGGTGCATGTGCATGCATTCCCAGAATCCCAAGAGGAGAATGATGGAAAAAAGATTGTGACATGACCATCCCCCCCAGGTGATTTCTCACTTTCCTTCTCTGTCTCTCTCCACACATCCGATGACAAAAAAAAAAAAAAAAAAAAAAAAACTAAAAACAAATTTTTTTTCACTTGCTCTTTTTTTTTTTACCTTTTATGGCTACTAGAATAAAATTACATATATTTCTCACAATAAATTTCTATTAGATAGCTCTGCTACCGACCTTGGCAAAACAATGTTATCAGTAGAGAGCTTATCTTGAACACAACCTTTCCATTCCAATACTTGCCCAGTTTTCCTTGCCTCCTACCAAGGGCATTGTTCTCTAATACTTGCCTACCTTGGTTTATTTCCTTCTTACTCCCAGACTACTTGGAATTGGCATGCCTCTCTGCCCACCAGCCCCCACCCAGCTGACATGTAAGACATTCCAGTCATTTTGTTTGGACTAGGAGACAATGGACTAATTTGGTCTTTTATTACTGTACTGGGTTCTCTGGAGCATATCAAAATGCACTCAGGTAGCTTGGTGCAACAAAAATGTTTTTCTTAGAAGACATGAGACAGAGCAATAGGAGTTGAAATCTCTTGTTAGAAAATTTAGAATTTATCTTTCTTAAATTTTTGTAAGTGATTAATAAATTAGTGTTGTTTCTAAAGATTAACTGAGATAAGTATTTATTCTATTATAATCTGATTTATTCCTCTTTTGTGTTAGATTTATTTCATATATTCTCAATGAGAGCAATATTGTTCCTAAATGGCCAAAAATTAGTTCTTGGGTTATGAAAAATATCTTACTCTTGCAATGTATGTGTACTGATATGTACTGGTATACACACACACACACACACACACACACACACACACACACACACACACACACACACACACACACACACACACACACACACACACACACACACACACACACACACACACACACACACACACACACACACAGAGTGTGAAACAAGATATAAAGTATATCCACAAATTAAAGTTTCCCTAGGGGAGTCATTAGGAAAATAAAAGTCTACAAATGTTCCTTAAGGGGTGTTGGCCATGAAAGATCACTGGTTTCTCTGCACTAGATGGTCATAGAGTATCCACATATCAGTGGAAATTTTTAATGCCTCAGTAAACTCCAAAGTTTCCAAAAGAGGGAGAACAGAATAAAACAGAGAAAAGATATAGAAAGATTTACATTTATAGGTTTGGGGAGGGAGCGTCTGAGAAGTGTTAGTATCTCTACTACCAATGGATCACACATTGTTAACATTATGCCAATTCTCTCTCTCTCTCTCTATTAGCTAGGTAAAGAGTATATAGATATATAGTGTTCATCGCACTTTTTTTTTTTAGTGTTTTCTTGATGTGAATAATTTCAAAATAAAAGTTGGGGTAAAATGCCATCCTTCTCTATACTCTTTCTCTCTCCACCCTTGTATTAGATTTCTACATTGGGGCCCTATTGAACCACAGTTTTTTGTTTTTGTTATTTTTCCTAGATGGTATGTACACTCTCCAGATAGAGAGAGAGAGAGAGAGAGGTTTTCCTCTTTCTGCCATCTTGGAACCTGTGGAGGCTGCTGGGAACAGGGCTTCTAAAAGGCAATTATGTCTGGAAGGCTATGGTCCAAGGCCATTCTTGCTGGCTATAAGCGGGGTCTCAGGAACCAAAGGGAGCACACAGCTCTTCTTAAAACTGAAGGTGTTTATGCATGAGATGAAACGGAATTCTATTTAGGCAAGAGGTGTGCCTATGTGTACAAAGCAAAAAATAACACAGTGACTCCTGGTGGCAAACCAAATAAAACCAGAGTAATCTGGGGAAAGGTTACCCGTGCCCATGGAAACAGTGGCATGGTTCGAGCCAAATTCCAAAGCAACCTTCCTGCTAAGGCCATTGGAAACAGAATCCGTGTGATGCTGTACCCCTTAAGAATTTAAAATAATGAAACTTAAATGAATAAAAATGGATTTGTGTTGTAAAAGAGAGAGAGAGAGAGAGAGAGAGAGAGAGAAAGCACCCTCTATTAAGGCATGGTCACTTCACAATCTCTTTCCCATTTCTCCATCCTGTCAGGATTTTGGGCACACATTCATGCAAGCCCACTACGTTTTTCAAGCTGCAGGGGCCAGGATTTGAGACACAGTTGGCTATGTGGAATCCAGCTCCATTAACTACTAAGCTACAAGGCTGGACCAAAGCATGGTTTCTTGCTAATATGTTTTTTTTTCTCTCTCTCCTAGGGCCTTTTTGCATATACAGCAGTCCCTCCTTATTCACAGGGGTTATATTCTAAGAACCCCAGTGGGTGCCTGAAATCACAGATAGTACCAAACCCTGTACATGCTGTGCTTTTTCTTATATTGGATTGTTGGAAAAGTTGTGATACACTTTTGCATAGCAAAACAGGAAAATACATCATGATTTTTCTGATGACCCAAAATATACATACCTATGATAAAGTTTGATTTATATATTAGGCACTATAAG